AAAGAGCTGGCATTGTGTGCGAGTTGCCGTGGGCAACAGAAATGGGGAACCAGACCCTTGGCTCTCAATGTTGATCACGTGCCATTAAAATACAGGAGGGAGAGAAGTGTGAGGCTTGGTCAACCCTCATAAGACACGTAATACTTGGTATTGTCCATGAAATTGAATACAAGATCAATGCACAGAATAGTTGATAGAAAAAAAGTATTTTGGACACATTTCTTTTTAATCAGAATGCTTTTCTCACTGAGCCATCTGGATTTATAAAGGAAATCAGCCCTTCTGAATAAGGGGGTTTCCCAGAGAACTCTAGGTTTACCTTTTATTTAAGTTAACAAAGCATGTAATGGTTAACTCTTTTGGGTGTAACTGCCTTCTTCAACAGAATACGTGGAAATTAAATATTTCTTCATACCTCCTATCATTATTCCACAGTGCACATATGTGACATATATAGTACATGCTAATGAGGAATTGGTGCTGTTGGCCAATATTCTTAATGACCCCTGTCATGTTGGATTTTTAAAACTCTGCTCTTGCCCTGGCTGGTGGCTCAGTTGGGTGGAGTGTCTTCTGGTACACCAAACGGTCGTGGGCTTGATTCTCTGTCAGGGCACATACCTAGGTTGCAGGTTCGATCCCCAGTCAGGTTGCACGCAGGAGGCAACCGATCCAAGTTCTCTCTCACATCCATGTCTCTATCACCCTCTTCCTCTCTCTCTAAAAATCAATTTAAAAATAAACAGATCCTTGGGTGAGGATTAAAAAAATTGTTTTAAAATCTGATCTTTACAATATTTTGTGCCTTCCTTTTCTGCCTGAGATTCTACCCCTCTTGGACAGTAATATGCGCCTTCTGACATTATGTGGATCTGGAATGAGAAGATGAAGCTTATTTAAATAATATATAAATGAAAAGTACATGGGGCCCAGTTGGCACGTGGCGGCTGCTCTGATGAGGAAGAGTGGTAGTATGTGCTGTTTGTGGGGGTGACCTTGCCAGCACTGTGACAGCTTGAGGCTCTGCCACGTTCTCGTCCTCAGCTGTGTTCTTTGGAACCGAAGCTGCCAGGTTCACTGACAGCCAGGTGAGGGGGGCGGTTCTGCCAAAGCTGTCCGTGCACTGCAGGAAGCTGCTTTGTTCTTTTTGACAGACTGAGGAGAAAGGTGTGGTGGAGAGAACATATGCTCAGGGCTCAAAAGCTAATCCTGCCACCTGTTGGGGGTAACCTCAGGCATGTTGCTTAACCTCACTCAGCCCCCATTTCCTTATCTGTAAGTGATGATTACATGACACTGTACATGTCAAGTACTTGCCAGTGCCTGGCACACCCGTGCTTGGCGGACATTGCTTTTCCTTCCCCCTCACCCACTTCTTGTAGACAAAGCCTCCTCGGAATCAGCAAGGCTGTGACCCACAGGGAGCCAGGAGGCCTGGGTTCTCTCGGGGGTCACCTGGGATCTGCCCCTGGATGACCGTATGCCTCCGCCTCCTCTGAAACCACGGCTGGACCAGCTCCGTCATGCTTGCTTCCTGCTCTGGAAGGAGGCACGTCTCGCCTGACATACATGACATTGCGCAAGGCGGGAGTTCACGCCCTGAAATCACAGGCTTTTGTCAGTTTGCCCTGCGGCAGGGCTGAAACTTCGACAGTTGGCGTGAGGTGTGCAGTGTGCTGCTGTAAGGCGAACTTCGCAATTAAAACCTGCCTCTGTTCACCTCACAGGCACCTCTCCTCGGATTTCATGCCATAACTTTAGAACATTTGCAGTTCCTGCTCCTGGCTCGTCACATTTGGGTGGAGGATGAAGGAAGGGTTTTTTTATTCCAATCTTTGAACCTTCTTCACCATTTCTGAGCAAGGACATGATACTACATGACACCAAGGGGCTGGGGCAGGTCTTCTCATCTTCCTACAGCCCGCTCCGGGGCCCATGGAGGAACGCGTCCCTCTCACATGCGTCCTCCCTGGGGAAGGTGTGGGCTGGCAAAGCATCAGCTTCATAGACTCTCCTGTCAGAGCTGATGGAGCAGGAATGACCCCTTTCTCTTCACTTCTGAGTCAAACCTCAGAGTCAGTGCTGGTTCTCCCTCCATCTTGAAACCTTTGGGCTTCTGGTTCCATCTGGTTAGTGGGATATTTTGTCAAGGCTGGTGTTTGGTCCAGGAGAGAGAACATCATGGGTTTCAGCTGGGGGAGGCGGTCGCCTTGTGCCTCCTGGGAATCCACTGTCCAGAGGGCCCACCCTCGGGAGTGACTCCCGCGGGAGGAGCCTGAGCTCTGACACACACAGAGGGCTCCCTGGCTCCCTTTGAAGTGGGCGTCTAATTGCGGCTTTGATTGCACAGATTTCACTGGTGGGTTGGGCTACGCCGGGGCTCGCCTGGCCTGGCCCAGCCCCCGGTGGAGCCTTAGATGTGGGAAGTCTCTAGTCTCCCAGCGCCATGCCTGTGGTTTCTTGAAAAGACTCTTGATTTGACCAGTGTTATATCAGTGAAGCAACCCTGCCAGCCCCCATTGGTCCCACTTGGAGGTAAGACTTGGTCTGCCCTGACAACCCTGTGTTTATAGGAGCAACCAGGTTCGGACCGCCATACCTGAGAGTTGAGGCAGTTTCTTGGCCCATGTATTTAATGTTCGTGCCACTGTTAGGAAAGTGTCCCGGTGGGGGCGAGCTGCTTTTTGTCCGTTGTACAGAGGACTCTGAAGCCAGCTTTCCCAGAGGAATTGAGGGAGGACACAGAATGAATCAGCGGCGGGGAAGCGTGTGGCTACCTGGGGAAGAAACGGCTTCGTCAGATGCCGACATTCCTTCGGGAGGTGCACGTTACCTCTGTGGTGGACGGCCCCCCGGACAGCCAGGCTTGTTCTGACACTTGTGTTAGTGCTGTGCTCAGCTCAGGAGGAGAAGAGGCGGCCCATTGGGGTGAGGTCAGAGGGGAAAGGGCGCCTCAGAGAGCCGAAGTGGGGGTGCTATAGACTGGCAGGTGTCCAGCCCTGCTCAAGGAGTAGGGCCACCGCAGGGCCGTGGAGGTCTTGACCTCATGACCTCATAGTCAGACTGTGGCTGGGATGAGGGACGGATCCCAACAGAGGGACAGTGTGTCTCCTTCAGCCTGCAGATGATCTGAGGCCGGCTCATCTGCCGCTGCACAAGCCTGGCCCAGTGCCAGGGTTCTTATTGCAGCATCAAGAAGGATTCAGCAATCTGGAGAAGGCTGTGCGTAGATTAAGGAGGAGTCTGGAGACCAAACATAATTTTGAAAGGCATTTGGGGGTCAGAGGAGCTTAGTAAAGGAGCTAAGTTCTAAGATCTCAGGTCTTAGGTCTCCTCATCTCAGGACCTCATGCTTTTTATTAACACAATTTGTCCTGAGGCGAGGCAGAGATATACACTTCAAAGGGTCAGGGTTTTTGGTACAGAGTCCATTGTCGGAAATGGAAGAATTAGCCTACAGCTGTTCAGGTGTTTGGCCAGTAGGAGGCAATAACATATAGATTAAGATGCCCTTTAGCTGTCTGGCAGCCACAATCAATTTAATGTATCCTATTCAGGTTTGGGGAAATGCCTTCAGCCATTCCCAGATGCAGCCCTGATGTCATGCTGGAATTGGTCTCCGGCAGCCCAGGGCTGCAGGCCGTCCGCACACATTAGAAAACCACAAGGCGGCAGTGTTTTCCTGTCACACGGGAAAGGGGCGTTTGGCAGGAGGACAGGCATTGACATGGTCCTCAGTGGACAGCACTCTGTGGTTAACTGCCCTCTGTTTGGTCGCTTTCTGTTTTCAGTAACTGCCCAGATACACAGATAGTTTCTACGCAGTTTCGATGAGTCCTTTTGAGGCCGGTCATCCCAGGAGCAGCTAGTGTTCCCCGGGCTCACCGCGCACCAGGCTCACAGGCCTGCACCTCGGGCGCTGGCCTCGCCTGCCCTCCCGGTCCCCACTCCACGGAGCACTCTCCTTCCGTGAACAGCACTTGACAGACTGCAACCTCCCACCCCAAGTTCAGTTTTCATTATGAAACTATTTTCAAAGCTTCCTTCTATTTCTCCTCTAAGTCTCTCTCCACTCAAAAAGCATCAAGAAATTCACTATTAGAATTAATTTTTTGAAGAAAACTTCTTCTGGTAACAAGGACAGCACAAACACGAACATTGGGATTCATCTGCGATGGCCAGGGACCCAGGTCGTCTGACCGGGGTGGCCCCCCCAGGTTCCTTCCCGGGTGAAGGAACCAAACTTCGGCATGCTTTCACTTTCCCTGCATCTTTGTCTCATCCTGGTACAGCATTTATATTTTATTTTTAGTTGCTTTAAAAAATCTCATTTTAGGATTTGGGGATCCTTTGTGAAAGTCATTGTCATCAGCAATATCAAACAACAGTTACTCAAACACTTGTCAAGTGTACAAACCAAGGCTAACATTAGAGATCTTAGTTATCGGGAAGAAAAAACGAGAGGACTGTAAGTCTGCAGTGAGACTGGAGAGGCCTATGCGCAGTGGACTGAGTGGTGGACGGAGCACATGCTGGTCGCAGGGGCTGGCGGTGGGCGTGTGCCTGCAAGGGCTGATGGGAGCAGGGGTGAGTCCTGTGTAGGACAATCACACAGCCGATCCCCACAGTGCACAGAATACCCAAACACTTTAGAGAACAACTCTTCCCCTTATGTGGTCATTGCCCACCACAGTTCATGTTTGTCCGTGATCCAATGTATTAAAGGGATTTTTTTAAAAAGTGTATTTCACATCATAACCTATACATGTATATACGTACGTGGAACTAAAATAAATATTTCAATAAAATACACTTACCTCTCACGTAGTCTGGGGCTACGGGGCTACCATGGGGCAGTTTGTGTAGCCATCGCCGAGTCAGCAGAGTGGATTCATTCCACGCAGAGATCCCAAGTCATGTACTGTGTTCAGTAGAGGTGAAGTCTTGTCCAGGCCTTAGACAGAGTCTCATTAACAGCATCTCCTGTGTTCCTTCCTGAGGTGGAAAACGAAGCTCATTCCCAACGTGCAAAGCCAAGGCGGCGGCCCCGGGACCCCTCCTGGAGATGGAAGCTTGTTGAAACCCAGACTGTCTCCACGGCCTGCCCAGCCGACCCCAGAGGAGAACTGGCACCACCTTCACCCTGAGGTCACCGCTAGAGACACTGATCCACAGAGACAATCACTGCCGAACCCCTTTCATCCACTGCAAGAGCCAAGGTCCAAAATAAAGTGTAAAAAGTTTTTTAAAAGAAAATTCAGCAGCACATGAGAATGCCAGCAGGCCCTGGGTCAGCTGAGCCGCTCTCCTCCCCGCGTGTCCGCCGTGCACTTCCCAGAGCCTCTTGCATCCATACCTGTCACCTCTTGGCAAGGATGGTGACTTGGCTGCCCCCGCGGGCCTGGAGCACCTGGAGCCAGCAGCCAGCGCGGCCTTCAGCGTCCCCGCGGGAACGTGTGGCCGAGTTCCCTCTATGTCTCCGTCTTCACTTTTCCTTCTCTGCCTTTCTCCTGAAGCTTTTATTTAACAGCGCAAAAGGATCAAGTTTGCTTCCTTTTTTTTTTAAACTTGAATATTTTTTTAATTTACACTTTTTAGTTTTAATTTTCTTGTATATTTTGCTAGCTATGAGCTTTTAAGTAAAATTCAAAGATCTGAAAAAGTTGGAAATAAAAAGGGACTGAAAAGAAGCCACTGTTTTTTGGGCAACATCTTGTCCAGTAAGTGGCCACGTCCACTCAGCTGGTCGCAGTCGGCAGTGCTATTCCATTTTATTTTTCTTCGGATCTCGTTTTTGTTTTTTTTAATGGTAAACCTTAACAGATACTTTCGGTAGTCCAGTTTGCAGTGAATTTTCATTTCTTTCCTTCTCACCCCTTCTTGTAAAAAGCCCAGCACTTGAATTGTTATTACTTTAAATGTTCTGTATTTGTATCTGTTTTTATTAGCCAATTAGTGGGATTTTATGCCAGTTGTTAAAATGATCATTGATGTACCCTTTTTTTTTTTAAATAGCAAGGCACAGCCTTTGCCCCAAACTGTCATCTAACGTTTGTCATTCCAGTTTGCGTTAACGTGCTGAGCATTTTTTAAAAGAAGCTTTGTAATAAAATTTTTTAAAGTGTAATTTCTTTTTAAAGCGTGAAGTTCCTGATCATCTGGAGTTGGTGATGGTGAACTAACTCCACAGGCCAGGCCACAGCTGCTCTGTCCTTGACTGAGGGGCATTGCTGATGCAGCTTTAAAGGTACACCTCCAAGGAACTTGTACGGAGTGGGCCCCTCCACCTCCTTTCCAGGTGTAGACGAAGTCGGGGCCAATGGGAAGAAGAGGGTCCCCAGGATTCGGATGGGACTGATTCCCTTCTCGAGCCCCTCAGACATCGCCGTGGGCTCCACCCTCAGCTTGCTGCCATGTCTGCAGGTGTGCCGCGCTTTCCACTTCATAGCTCATTGCTTCTCAAACTGGGTCCCCAGGTCAAGGTGTCCCTGTGCCGAAGGAAGGTTTTAACTCCCGCTAGTCTCCCCAATGTCAACATTTCCCCAGTATTGAGTTTGTATTCTAGAAGTCTCCCTTTTGTTACACTACTAGCATATAGGTTGGTATCTGACTTAGCCAAAAATAGACATTTTGCGCTTCAAACGTCAGTATTTCATGATTTTCCACGATCGTTTCCCATCCATTGAGATAGCATGAGGACCATTCATACCATTGGTCTAACTTAAGTCTCTAGCTGAAATCCTATCTCTTTTTTTCAACCTTCAATACAGCTGGGGAACAGCTGGCTACCATACTTGTAATAACCCTCCACATACTGTACTTGAAGATTGCCATTAAATCACCCCTCAAATTTCTCTTCTCCAGGCTAAGTAATCCCAACTCCTTGAACCTTTCATCATCAGTCCTTTAATCATTTTTATTACTATCCTCTGGAATCTCGCCAATTCCTCTTCATTTAGTCCTAACTTGAACCAGGGAAAAATGTCTATTTTATGTTCAGGGGACCTACTTTTTATAAAGGTTTCATATTCATTTGAAAATTATCTGAGCTTTTTAAGTATACATCAACCAAGTAGTTATACCTGAAGCCCCACCATGCTTTTTTTCAGGAGTTGACTAGAAAAATCCAACAAAATAATGTAAGAGGTGACATTGTTACTTTTATTGCGGGGAGGGGTTGTAGCAACATATTAATCGGCTTTTCTGGATCTTAGAAATAAATCCATGAATAATAAAAGCCTGTCCATTAAGTAGACAGCAAGGATACAGAGCTGAGGATCGAGCCTTGTGCAAGCCTCTCCATGGGTTCCCCCTCCACAATTTTCACACACAAAAAATGAATAGCAATGTTGAAAGAAATGGGTTGTTTGGATCCTCTCTGAGCCAGTGGCTCCTTCCCCAAACCCAGTCCCCTCTTCTTGTTTTTCCATTGAGGATATTTTTCCATTGATTTTTTAGAGAGCGTGGAGGGGAGAGGGAAAGACAGAAACGTCGATATGAGACAGACACATCGATTGGTTACCTTCCCCACATCCCCTGAGTCCACAACCGAGGCACATGCCCTTGACTGGAATAGAACCTGCGACCCTTCAGTCTGCAGGCCAACCTTCTAGCCACTGAGCCAAGCTGGCTAGGGCCCCTCTTCATTTTTTATTTGGCTTTCAGGATAACTTTTCCCAGAGAACTTTGATGTCAATGCACAGTGCTGAAGCCTGGCCCATTCAGCCCAAATCCTGCTTTCTGCTGCAGTGGGTTCTGGGGAAGGAGAGTCAAGAGCCCCTGGAGGTACAGACCTAGGGAAGCTATCCTGGACAGCTGGGCAGAGGGGCTCCTCCAGCCACTGCTCCTGCTGGTCATGGGTGACTTGGCTTTCTTCCCTGCAGCAGGCTCAGAGCTGATGGCGTGCCTCGAGGAGGACGATGGCCCGCCTTTTTTTCTGGGAACCAGCCTTTCTGTGAGGCCACAGTTGGCACACTGGCCCTTAGAAGGGGTGTTTTCTCCTGGTTTAATTTGTTTGGTTGCTAGGGTTGCTGGCAAGGACCCATTTAGCTGGAAGGAGCCTTTGAACAGGTTCTTGACT